AAACCACTCCAGTTACTTTTTCCAGGAAAACCCCAAATAGACTCATGAGGAGTCGGGCCAACTAAAACAACTGAACAACGAAAGCTTATCGACTGGTTCTCTGTACCTGTTACACCCCTTGTGTTTAGTGCTACTGTCTGGGGTCAAGGCTATCTTGTCCGAAGATAGCTATTACAACCTGACTAGATATGGCCTAAAGGATAAAGGTTTCCAGGCTGAAGATGGGAATCATGGGACTGTAGACTTTAGAGATGAAAAGATAATCTAGAGGTAATCCAGGACAGTCCATTCAATAGCTGAGGAAGCTCAAAGAAGCTATGATTTGTCCTTGGTCACAGAGCTCGTAAGCTGATATTGGAACTCAAGTGTTTATTTCTGGGAGTCTCTGAGCCTAGATAAGGAGTCCATGGATTATTGTTCTCATTTTACAGATTTCATCATTCTAATAGCAGAGCCACTCCCCTTCCGTTCCTCAAATGCATTTGCCTTTGAAGGCTGGAAGTTTTGTACCACCGATTTTCTTATGAGTCAAAGGGGACAAACCAGGACCACGTAATAGAATAGACTAGGTCGCAAGGTGAAGTCACAGGTACGGTGCAGTGACTGGTTGGCATTCTGGCTCAATGTATGGTGTTCCTGGTGCGTTATTTTCCTTGGGAAAATATTTCATTAATCTTTTATTGATATTTCTCTTTAATATAACTATCCCTTCCCAGTGACTCCACCACTCCAAAATAGACACTTCTTTGGAATGAAGAAATACTTATAAACAAATCAATAGTTTGGCCATTTCTGACAGTGTATCTGTCGTTCCTTACCTACAGATAACCGCATCTTTATTGATAGGTAGGAAAAATACTTTGCAACCAGTCCTTGGAAAAGTCCCTTCTCTAAGCCTTATTTTCTCTGCAAAACAAAGAATATCAATCATCTTTTTACTTCTTCTCTCAGAAGTGCTATAGTGAGTTTCAAATGAAATAGTAGAAGTGTTTTGTGACTAAAAAGTCACTACAAATGGAAGTATATGATGTAATTTAAATAGATTTCATGTGTTATAGTGAAATATTATAATGTGTTATTATTGTGTCAGAAGGCACTATTGTTTTACCCATGTTATAACAAGATGAATGACATAATGAAGTGTCTAGTAAAACATTTCATGGAATGATGGACTTACCACAAGCCTTAGGACATAGGCTATTAGGAAGGAGAATATAGAATGTTAGAAGTGGAAGAGACCTTGGGCATAGAAGATTTAAGTTGGAAAAACTTGTGGAATGTAGAATATTAGAATATAGAATGTTACTATGGAAGGGACCTTATGTCATAGAACATTAAAGTTGGAAGGATTCTTGAAACATAGGATATTCAAATATAGAATGTTAGAGATAAGGGGACCTCAGGTTATATAACATTAAAATATTAGAATATAGAATGTTACAGATGAAAGAGAAAATAGAAGATAGAACGTTAGAAAATAAGACATAGGATAGAATATGTGGAAAGGATATTAGAAATCATTTAGTTCAATATTCTCATTTTATACATGAGGAAATTGACATCCAATGAGGGGAAGTGACCTGTGTAGGGTCAGTGGAAGTGTTGAAGAGCTCAAATAATGAGTCAGTCAATAAACAAGGATTTGTTAAGCACCTACTAAATGTTAGCCACTGTGTTAGATACTGGGGTGCTTTAGGGTTTATAAATACTGATTTATTGATTGATAGGCTTGCCAAAGTACTTTATATATGTTAACTCATTTGGTCTACAAAACAACGTGGGAGATAAGAGCTGTTGTTATCTTCATTTTACAAATGAGGAGATGGAGGCAGAGGTTAGATGGCTTGGCTAGGGTCTCACAACTAGGGAATGTCTGAGGCAGGATCTGAGCTCTGGTCCTTCTGATTCCAAATCCAGTAATCTATCCATTTTGATACTTAGATGCCTATACAAATACGAAACCTGAAACAATACTTTCAATGCTCCCAATTATGGAGCAGATTTTGATATAATTAGATGGTTTTGGAAATGATAGAGGTTATTCCCAGTGTAGTGCCCCAGGGTTCTTTACTTGGTCATGTGCTTTTTAACAGTTGTTTTAAATCAATGATTTAGAAATTGGCACAGAAAGCATTGTTATTAAGTTTTCAGATGACATCAAACTTGGAGGGAAAACAAACATTTTGGATGACAAAGTCAGGATCCAAAAATACCTTGACAAGTTAGAACGCTCGACTGAAGGTAAAACAATGAAAAATAACTTAGTCAAATGTAACATCTTCCAATTGAGTTCAGAAATCTAATTCACAAATGAAAGATAGGAGAATCATGATTAGACAGAAGTTTGTCTGGAAAGTATACAGAGATTTTGGTAGAAGGTGAAGTCAACATGAGTTAACACTGTGATTTGGCAGCCAAAAAATCCCACATTTTAAGAGACAGCTTCCAGGAAGAAGGACGTGATCTCCCCACTACTCTGCTTTAGCTATACCACAATTAAAACTGTTTTGAGTTCTTAACATAATATTTCCAGAAGGGTATTGGTAAGCTGGAGAGTGTCCAGGTGAATGATGATGAAACATAACAACCCACTGGAAAGGTGACAAATTTAGGGTATAGAATGAGATACACATGCATACTTATACATGTGGGGGGATGTCCCACTCTACATATGTATATATATATATATATATATACATATATATATACATATATATGTATATATATACATATGTATATATATGTGTACATATATATATATACATATGTATATATATACATATATATGTATATATATATACATATATATACATATATATGTATATATATACATATGTATATATATGTGTACATATATATACATATGTATATATATATATGTACATATATATACATATGTATATATATATATATGTACATATATATTGATACTTATTACAAGAAACTTTTATTTCTTTTTCTTACTTAATGAGGTAATAAGTAGGAGGAAAAGAAAATACATTTCTTTTAATTAGAAACATTAAAAAGAGAGGTACTACAGAAATAGAATGTTTCATGTACTTTCAGATGATGAGGTCACTACATTGTTAGTTTTACTTAATTGTTTTACTTTATTACAAGAGACTATTCATGGAGAGGGGAGCAATCTATTTGATGAAGGGTCTAATTTTCATGTCATATGGGGATCAACTGAAGAAGGCTCCTTATTCTGGAGAAAAGAAACCAGGGGGCACATCATAGCTGTCTCGTTTTGCAGGACTTTCATATGGAGTGAGAAATAGACTTGTTCTGCTTAAGCCCAGAAGTAGGGCAGAGCTAGGAGAAATGAGTCAAGGTTGAAGAGATGCAGATTTAGGCAAAAATTTCCTAACAATTAGAACTATCCCAAAATGGTGTGGGCCACTTCAGGAGGTAGTAGGCAATAAAATAATGACTCATTTATAAGTGCTGTAGAGCTCACAAAAACACCTTTGTGGCAATTGCCCTGTGAGATAGGCTGTATACATTTTAGGTAGGCAGTATAAATATTAATATTCCCATTTTATAAATGAAGAAACTAAAAAACAGGAAGATTGCCACTTGCCCAAGGTTACACAGAAATATCAGAGCTGTGATTGTAATCAAGGCTTCCCTTGATATCAAGGTCAATGCTCTTTTTTCCATATTGCCTCTTTGGCAGAACTGTGATGAAAATGGGGCTTGGTAAATGTTAAAGTGCTATTTTTGTTTTGCTTTTTGGACCTGTGATTTTACTGGTGCGAGGATCTCCTCGTAAGGAAATTCCCTTCTACCAGTGCATATCAGCAACCACTTTGCAACTTAATGTCTCAGAGAGTTTTCTTGGACACTAAACACAGAGCCAACCAGAGACACACTATGCCTCTATGACACACGTCAGAGATGGGACTTGAACCCAAATATTGTTAGCTCTGAGTCTGGCTTTATGTGCCCTAGGGGACAGTGTCTGTCACAGCTCTATAGAGAGGTTGTTTGCTGTTATTAGCACTCTTTCTGTGGTGTGTTGCTGCCTCCAAAGCATTTCCCTTTCAACAATCCTGTAGAAACAAGAATACTGTACAGTCCCCATTTTACAGAAGAGGAAGTTTGGGCAGCTGAAAAGATTCTCACAATATGTCAAGCCTATTAAGTGTCAGAGTAAGAGATCAAATATCATGGGATCATAGACATAGATTTGGAAAAGACATCAGGGTACTTCTAGTTCAATTTCTTCATTTTACAAATTAAGAAACTGAGGCACAGAGTGGTGAAAAATGAGTTGCCTAAAGACAACCATCAGAGATGGGATTTGAACCTACATCCTTGGACTCCGAAGTCAATGTTTGTTTCATGCAATACACTCAACTCAAATCCAGTGCAGTTCCCGCTATAGCACATTATCTCCTTTTTATAGGCTATGACCCCTCCTGTTGGAAAATTTAAGATCTAGTTGGGAGAAGACCAAACCAAGTTCTCATGTGAGCATTTTCTTTAGCAAGCTATGCACAGTAGTATATAATCATTTGTTAAATCGTATATTATTTTTGTTGTTGTTCAGTTGTTTTTTTGATCATGTCCCACTCTTTGTGACCCCTGTTTGGGGTTTTCTTGGCAAAGATCCTGGAGTGGTTTGCCATTTCCTTTTCCAGCTCATTTGGTAGATAAGGAAACTGAGGCAAACAGGGTTAAGAGACTTGCCCAGGGTCATACAGCTAGTAAGTGTCTGAGGCCAGATTTGAACTCAGGAAAACGAATCTTCCTGACTCCAAGCCCAGCACTCTATCCATGGTGCCACACAGCTGCATCATCACATATTATATATTAAATCGTATATTATTATATTGTAGAGGTATTATGGGCTTCAGAGGAGGAGACAGATCATTGGGATCCAGAACCAGGGAAGACTTTCTGAAAGAGGGAAGCTGAGAATTGGCACCCAAAGATGGCGGATGCATTAGTATTTCATCCTGTCTAGGATTGATCATCTCTTCTTTCTTTTTCAGTTTGATCTGCAGCGGATAGTGATTTATTGTGACTCTCGACATGCTGAATTGGAAACCTGCTGTGACATCCCTTCAGGACCAGTAAGATATACTGTCCACAGAGCAAAAAGATATGGCCTTAAATGAAAGGAGGAGAAATTTCAGTTGGACATAGATATTTCCTGCCTGACCATTAGGACAATAAATTCATTTACTCTCATTTATTCATTCAATTAGTATTTTAAGTATCTGCTATATACATATCCAATGCTAAGTACTGTGGTGAATAAAAAAATGATTAATACAATGTCCTTGTCCTCATGGAGCTTCCATTCTAGAAGGAGAGCTAAGATGATACCACATTATGTGCTAGAAGGTTGGCATTTCCTTACAACGACTCTATGAGGAAAACAATAGATGACTCTTCATCTCCATTTTATGTAAGAAGAAACTGAGAGATGAGGTGATTTGCCCGAGGTCACAAAGCTTATGACTAAGCTGATTCAAACCAATCTCTTGATTCCAAATCTCATCCTTTTTCCATTACATCACTATGATTCCTGTACACAAATAACTTTCCCAGGGTCACATAGCCAGCCATATCTGGCACCCCAGTTTCACTTGTGTTATCAACCCCCATTTCCACAAAGACATGAGTTAACAAATGTCTTTGTCTTTTTGGCCCAAATCAGGCTTTACCTTTTTCCTTAAATCTGGTGTATACTAATTCTTAGTGTAGTCTGTAATTAGTGTTATTTTTTAGTTCCTCCTGGTATGCTTTTCCCTGTCAAAGCAATCTTTTTTTAGGAATGAAGCTTATACTCAGTGCCAGCATATATCAAGCTTTTATTGGGGTCCTAACATTGAGAAAAGAGAAGATTCAGTGCCTGCCTTTCAAGAGCATAAATGCTGAAAAAAAACTTGTAATTTTGCCTTTTTCATACTACAGTTATTTTCTGATATGTTTTCACCTTTCTTGTAATAGAGCAACGCAATGAACCCAAATTTACCAGTCTCTGATAGCTTATGAACCATTCTTCTCCCATAATCTTCCACCTCTCTGTTGGGAGCAGGAATGCATGTTTCATCATTTGCTCTCCAAGATAAGGATGTATCATGGCATTTAATCTGATTTTAGCTGCTATTGTTTTTGTTATTATAGTCCTTGTGTATGTTTTTTCTGGGAACTTTGTTTTTTTTACTTATGGTCTTCCCTTATTTCTAAGAATTCCTTATATCAATTTCTTATAATGAAAAATTATTCTGCTATGCAAATTTGCCACAGTTTTTTTTTGGTCTATTTCCCAGTGGATGGGCATTCATTTTGTTTTCCTTTTATTGCTTTTGTTTTTCTATGAGAAGAAGAAAGAGCTTAAAATCTTTGCCTTTCCAAGTGTCTATATCCAAAATAGAACAAATTTCTCTCTTGTGAGATTTCATGGTACTTCATATTCTTTCAGTTTAGGTTCCTAACACGTTGTAGCTCTTTATGGGTTACCCCTCCCACTGACTAACTTGACTTCTGGAGAAGCTGCATGGTATAGAATTAGGAAATCTGATTTTTAGTCCAGCTCCAAAACTTCTTTGTGAACCTCTACACCCCCCCATATATATACACACACATACATACGTATGTGACTTTGCAAGTCCCTTAACATCTCTGAACCTCAATTAGCTCAGCTATAAAATGGCATTGGTTAAACTTGGGTTGTTAGAAGGAAAGGGCATTGTAAAAGTCAAAGCCCAATGGTGATATATGGTGGTTTGGACACTGAGTGGAGAAGTCAATATATCTTGTTCTCTGTTTTTCCTTCTTCAGTGCCAGGTGACTGTCATCACAGAAGCCCCTCTACCAGAGATACCACCCACAATTGGCAGTGAGCAGATTGGCTTTCTGAAGACCATCAATTGTTCCTGCCCTACTGGGGAAAAGGTGCTCTTAAGACCTCTCCTCCTTCTTCCCAAAGCAAGGGTCACCTCTGGTGATGTTTTCCACTAAGACACTTTCAGCTATCAGAAGAAATTTGCTTCTCATTTGCATAATTTTGGATCATAGGATGTAGCCAAGTACATGGTCATTATAGATCATACTTCTAGTTCCTTTTTTTTTATTGGTAACAAAATGAAATATTTATTAAGTACATACGTCCAAGGTCATGTGATGGGCACCAGCGGAAAGGACAACACCAATATGACTCCTGCTTTCAAGGAGCCAGCAATCTAATTTATATCAGCTGGTCATTGTAATGGACTCCTAGCCTAGTATAGATAGGGAAACTGCTGATTTTGTGATTAAATCTATACCTTTAATTCTCTGAAGGTGTTTTCCTCCCCACTGATTTTTTGGGGCTCGCTACTATAGGGTATTTCCACCAGTATACAACACAAAAGGAAAACATTGTTTGAATATAAGAATAAGAACTATGAAATGAATTGTGATTTTAATATGGTCACATGGTTACATCTTACCTTTCCTATCTTTTCCTTATCTGGTCTTAATATAAAGCTAAACTTTGTTTATAATTATCACATTATGTCCCCTATTCCTAATTTAACAGTCAAGCGAACTATTCTAAAAATCACTTGTGGGTAGTTCTTAGCAATTTCTTTACCAAATTGAATGATGCAATCTCAGAGGTAGAAAGGGCCTTCTAGCCCAATTCATATTTGAATAGGACTCTCTCTCAATAAATGGATCATCAGTGACTTGGTCGAGAAATATTTACTAACCACTCTATACATCATGAATTCATCTCATAGAGGAGAATGAAATATGAGGGTCGGAGAAATGTGTCTAAGGATGCAGAGGGTCCACATGAGTGGTTTGACCCTTTTAGAAGGGTAGAGCTGAAATGAAAGACACTTAAGAGATGTTTTTTTCTAAAATACTTACATCAACATTTGGAGAACACTGACCTCAAGTGTTTAACTGAATGTAAGTTGCTTTCATAAGGCCTCTTTATCTACTCTACTCCACCCTACTCCAAACCATATTTCCCAGCCCATTCACTACCACTGTAGTACTTTTATAGTTCTTAGCACAGTCCCTGAAACATAGTAGGCACTTAATAAATGCTCATTGACTAGCTGGTTGACTGATTCCATGACTATTTCAGATAAGAGAGAAGCATAGTGTAATTGGAAGTCAGTATCCAGCAGAGTTGATTCTTAGAGTTAAAAGTACTGGCTCTAAAGATAGCTCTTTGACTGTGGTCAATTCAATTCACCTTCCACTGTCTTATCTTTTAAATTAGAAGAGTAATATTAGAACAACACATCTCACAGGATCATTGTGGAGAAAGTGCAGCTAAGTGGTACAGTAGTTAGAATGCTAGGGCTGAAGTCAGGAAAACCTGAGTTCAAATCCAGCTTCAGACACTTACAGCTGTGTAATCCTGGACATTCATTTAACCTCAATTTCTTTCAGTTCTTCATATGTAAAATGTAGATAATAGTACTTACCTTTCAGCGTTATTGTGAGGATCAAATACGATAATATTGGTAAAGAGTTTAGTGTAGAACTTGGCATATACTAAGTGTTGTATAAATGTTGGGTAATGCTGCTGCTGCTGCTGATGGTGGTGGCGATGGTGACGATGATGTACCTTGGAGGGCTTTGCAAATGGGAATTGTTTCTATTTAAAATAATAAAAACACCAGATTTGGATGATGGTACATCATTAGGATTGGTGCCTGGAGCAATAATATAAAGAGGAGATACAGTTAGGACTACCCTGTTGAACATCACGTAATTTGTCTAGTCCAAGGAAAACGCTCAGGCTTTGAGGTTTATAGCTGGACCAGTCATTTTTTTTTCTAGTTTTTGCAAGTCAATAGAATCACAGAGATCATCTGATCTGATTTCCCCAGATTTTCTGCTTTCAATTAAGAAACTGAAATAATAGGTATCTAGCTGCCAAGCAATTTTGCTCAGCACCCACTACCACACATATGCAGACAGCACACCCAGAACCTTGAAGTCAGCCAAAAACAATCTCCTTTAGAATTCACCCTCAGTATTATCCCTTGCACTGGCTTGTGGCTTCAGTGAATTTTAGAAGGCTAATAAGCACAGTAAGGAATTCTAAGGGTGTATCTGATAAAATGAATTATTTTTCTTACTTTATCTAGGTAGATGAGATTATCTAGGCCTATCAAACAATCAGAAAAATCTTAATTAAGTGCCTGTTATATGCTCAGTGCCAGACATAGCCCCATTGGGGCAGGGGGATATAAAAGAAATAAAAATTATTGTATCTTCTCAGGTAAATGTGCAACAACTGTTTTTATTCCTGGAAATAATTAGGTGTGCATGTGTGTGTTTGCACAGTCACTCACACAACAACAATAAGTTAGTATTATTATAGTATAGTATGATAAATATAATATAGTAATGTAATGTATAATATAATGTAATATTATAGTACTTAGCATAATAAATTATTGCAATAGTTTTGCAAAGGTTTGCAAAATACTTTCTTCATAATAACTCTGAGTTTGCTGTTACATTACCATAGATTAAGCATCCTTCACATAATTATACAACAAGCACTGTATAGCAAGGATCAGAACCCAGAACTCTTGATTCTCTCAGTTTACATATTATCTACTGGGCTATGCTGTGTCTCTTAACTGCTAAGGGTAACGCCAGATTTCTAGGTTTTCAGCTGATATCTCAGGTTTCATTATCTCAGCCAAACAGAGCCTACTGAGGTAGGCATGCCTTCCCATGATATTGCATGAATCTGTTAACAATAATAAGAGCAGCTGGCATTTATATAGTCACTTTACATCTGCAAAGTGATATGTTTATATATATAAAATCAATCACATTTGATCTTCACATTAGCCTTATGAAGTAGGTTCTATTATTATCCCTATTTCACAGTTGAGAAAACTGAGGCAAACAGAAGTTAAGTGACTTGTCCAGGGTCACACAGCTAGAGTTTAAGGCAAAATTTGAACTTGGGTCTTCCTGATAACAAGTGAACCTCCTATGCACTATGCACCTACTTCTCAGTGTAAATAAAAGTAAATACAGCTGCAAAAGGACCACATGGCCAGTAGTCTTGGACCTCAGGAAAATGGCTGAAACCAGCATAGAGAAATGAACGTCAGTTTCCCTAGTGCCTTGTGATCATCTAAGACCTGCCTAATTCAACTCAACATTGTTAGAGATACCAGACCATCTGACAGCACTTTGGGGTATTCTGTATTAGAATGTAATCAAGAACTGGAGATCATTCCACGTTTCTCTTGGTTTCCCTCATTTCACTGGCTCTTCTATGATATCCATTTTTGCCCCTTAAGCAATTTGCATCTGTATCTATATCTATCTATATCTATATCTATATCTATATCTATATCTATATCTATATCTATATCTATATCTATATCTATATCTATATCTATATCTATATCTATATCTATATCTATATCTATATCTATATCTATATATCTTCTCTTCTAAGACCTAGGAATATGTCTATGTGCAACAAAATGTTTATCCATTTGGAATCAATTGGATGACAATTCAGTTAAGAAAAATGCTACAAACCTACATGTAATATGTTTAGTATCTCTCTCCAACACTCATTGAACTCTTCCTACCTGTAAAATGCTAGGCATGATTAGATATTAGACAATACGTTTTTGTTATGCTAAAATGGGGGAGGGAAAATATTTACACATGTAATTAACATAATACTGTTTAGACATAACCTTGAAATTGCAGCCAGTGGGTTTCATCTTTGTGTGTTGGATGCTAGAGAAGCTAGCATTGAGTGAAAGGGAGTAATGTGAAACTAAACTTTAAGTATACCTTTGTCTTTGTTCCCATAGGGTGAGAGGGGCATCGAGGGACCACGAGGTCTCAAGGTCAGTATCCATGAAATCTATTAGATACTTGAAACATAATTATATCATCTCCCCACACCTTTCCTCAGTGCCTCCCTACTGGATTTAGAATAAAATACTGAGTATTCAGCTTAGCATTTGCAATTTTCCTCCAGCCTACCTTATATCATCCTACCTCTCCTCTCTGTCAGTCAGCTCTCAAACTAAACCAGATTACTTGTTTTCCCCAAATTTATCATGCCATCTCTCATCTCTCTTTTTTTTTCACTCAGGCAAAATCTCTCATGTCTCAAATGCCATCCTTCCTCACCCTCACCTCTTAAAATCCTGAGCTTCCTTCAAGGATGAACTTATATGCTATCCTTAGGGCAAGCCTTTTCTGGTCACTACAGTTTTTAGAGTTTTTCCCCTTTCTCCTCAAATTGTCATGTATATGATTATTATCTGTTTATATGTTGTATACCATCCTCTCCCTACCAGGCTAGGCTATAAGGTCCTTGAGAGTAAGGTCTGTTTTTCATGTTTTCTTAATGTCCTCATTGCCTAACACAGTGCCTCCCTTGCATAGGGTAGCTTGTTAGCTTGGATTGAACTGGGCCATGTTCTGATTCTTTTCGGATTGTCGTCATCATGGCTCTCCTGACAATACCTGAATCCCTGAGTGCTTCATGGCCAGACTCTTTTGGAGGTTTTAAATAGCATCTGAGGGGACCAAGTGGTCACTGAACTGAGTCTAGAGAGTTATTTTCAACAATGAATGTTCCAGGACATATCAAACATCATTCAATTTAGTGACATTCCTTTTAGAAGCAAGTTTCAGGAATAAGTCATTTCTATAAAGCAAGGGATATCTGCTTCTGATCCTCTCTTTACTGAGTCTACAGTCACACATATAATGCAACAGCCCCCATTATTCATGCCCAGAGATTTGGATGCATAGATTGTTAGAACTGAAAGAGACCTTTGATATCAATCCAGCTCCCTCATTTTCATAGAGCTCATCTAGCCAGACCTCGTCATTTTACAGAGGAACAATCTGAAGCCTGGAGAGGAAAAGTAATTGGTGGAAGGTCATGAGATTTATTAGTGACATAGCCTAGATCTGGATCCAGGCGTCCAGAGCTTTTTCTACCATAGTATTTGTTGTTGTTGTTCAGGAATGTCAGTCTTATTTGACATTTCGTGACTCTATTTGGGGCTTTCTTGGCAAAGATACTGGAGTTTGCCATTTCCCTCAACTCATTGAGACAAACAGGATTACATCATCTGTCCAGGATCACATAGCTGTAGGTATCTGAGGCCAGATTTGAGCTCAAGTCTTCCTGACTCCAGGCCTAGTGGTGTATCCACTGCACCACCTACCAGCCCTATTAGTACGCTATACCTCTTCCTTGACTTTCCTCTCTACTTTCTTATCCATCCTTCACAGCATCATGCTAATATACTTACATAAAAATCAGGTCTCCTGACTCTTTTTTAACAATGATATGATAGCAATAATATGATATTATGGTAATAATGATAATGATGAAAGTTGGCTAAGAAGTGTATAAATATCTGGCCTCAGGGTCAGAAAGATCTAGGTTAAAGGTGACCGACATGCTGGCTCTGAGACCCAATGATTCTCAGTTTTCTAGGCAGCTCTAAAAATCTTAAGTCAGAAAGTAGGTACAGATTGTAACTACTATACAGTTGGACACTAACCATAGAAGAAGGGCCCCATCAGGAGTTCCCTTACACCATTGTAATTATATTTCATAATAATATTAACACTAACTTCCTTCTAACATTTGTAGTGCTTCACTACTGAGAATCTTTAAATATGCATTATTTTACTTGGTTCTCAGCAAAACTTTCTGAGGTTAATGTCTTCATGCTAACATTCATTAGTTTTGTGACTTTGAGCAACTTGTTTCACCTCTTGGGCCCCAGTTTTCTCATCTGCAAAATGGACAAAAAAACAAGATAGTACCTGCGAAAAGGTGGCTACCCTGGAGGTTATTGTGTGTGTGTGGGGGGCAGTTTGTCATTGTTATTATTGTTGTGCTAATTTTACCAGTGGGAAAACTGAGGCTGTATGTGATAAGATTACTCATGCTAATTATGAGGTTATTGTGGAGGTAGCAGGATTATTTTTTTCTTCTCATTTTACGGATGGGAAAACTGATGCTCACAGAGGTGGAATAATGTCTTCAAAGGCCATACAGCTGATTAATGTTACAGCCAGTACAAGAACCCCAAGACTTCTGACTAACAATCCAATTCTTATTCTATGATACTTAAAACTTTAGGAATAATGAGGTGAAGGCAACAGAGTGTAAGGATTTAGATGTTTTTGGAATGCTCTGTTTTGATGGGACCTCTGAAAAGCATCAAGCTTCATATTTCTTTTATGTGTGTCTCTGTCTTCCCCTCCTCTCTCCATGTTTCTCTTTCATTTTCCTTCTCTTTCTACTTCTAGATACCAGGTGGCACCATGGATGGCGCTCTGGGCCTGGAGTCAGGAAGACCTCACTTCAGAAGACCTCAAATCTGGCCTCAGGCATTTACTGTCTGTGTGATCCTAGAGAAGTCATTTACCCTCTGCCTGCCTTAGTTTCCTTATCTATAAAATGGGGATAATAATAGCACCTATCTCCCAGAGTTGTTGTGAGAGTCAAGGAAGATAATAATTATAAAGTTCTTAGCACAATACCTGGCACATATTAGGTGCTTAATAAATGTTCATTTCTTTCTTTGCTTATTTCCTCCTATCTACTCCAGTTCTCTCCTCCTCTCATTTACATTTTTTATTTCTCTTTTCCTTTTCCTTCGCCCTCTGTTGTATTTCCCCCCTTTCTCCTCCTTTTCCTTTCTTTCTTCACTCTTTCTTTGCTCTACATAGCACCCCTTCCTTTTCCCTCTAACATCCTACCATTCTATTTCTCTGTCTCTGTATTTGTCTCATTATTCCTCCTTTTCCTTTCTTATTCCTTTTTCTCTTTCTCTCTCCTCTCTTCTACCTCACAATTCCTCCCCTGTTGTCCTCCATCCCTCATTCTCTTTCCCCCCCTTTACTTCCTGTCCATTTTTCTTACTTCTGTCACACACATGCACGTATACACACAGACAGATAGACAGACAGACAGACAGAGACACACACACACACACACACACACACACACAAACACACACACACACAGACTTGTCTTCAGATGCCGAGCAGTGTCCATCGTCTCTGACAGCTATAAAACTCATTTGGCTGGATGTCACCTATGTTAGCCTTGTATTGAATTGTCTCCATGCCCTGATGGGTTGCAGCAAGAGCAAGGTTATTGGGTCATGTTGATTCTAGGAGGAGAGGAGACATCTCTGCTTCACAGAATGTTTTCTGGGCTGTGACCTTACAGCTTCTTGGCTGCCAGGAAAAGACGTTTGGGGGTTTGATGGGCCTATAAATAAAAAAGCGGTTGCATGAAACAGTGGCTGTTTATATAACGGTCACAGGATTTCTGTGGGTTTGTAGGAAAAAGGAAAAAGAGGGGTAAAACCCCCCAAAACACCAAGGGAAGATAAATTTAAAATGATGATGGAAAAGAAATGCAAATGTGGATTTAGCCACTTGGCTAAAGAATATCATTTCATTCCAGCTTGGCTTTGGCACCACTGATGTGCAATCTGTGGTCTTATTAACAATCAAAAGTGTGGCATACCCAATTGGTGGGTAAGACAGCTAAATAAATAATCACATTTATATGACTGAACCACAGAATCTTAGAGCTGTAAAGCTCACCAGAGGTCTCTCAGCCCAACCCTCTCATTCTATAGGACAAAGAAACTGAAATATAGTAAGGGAGATACTTAACCATTGTCAGCAATCCATCAGTCAATAAATCAATGAGTATTTATTAGATGATTACTATGTGCCAGGCAAAGTGATCAGTGTTTGGCATACAAGCACAAAGAACGAAACAACTCTTCCTCACAAGGGGCTTATGTTCTAATTGTTGTTGTTGTTCCTGAGTCATTTCAGTCCTCTCTGACTCTTTGTGTCCTCATGCGGAGTTTTCTTGCCAAAGACACTGGTGTGTTTTGCCATTTCCTTCTCCAGAGCTCATTTTCCAGATGAGAAAACTGAGGCAAATGGGGTTAAGTGACTTGCCCAGGGTCACCCTGCTAGTAAGTGTCTGAGGCCAGATTTGAACATTTGAACATGGGAAGATAAGTCTTCCTGACTTCTGACCCAGCTGTGCCACCTAGCTGCCCCCTACATTTTAATTGAGAGAATATATACATATATATATATATATATATATTATATATATATATATTATATATATATAATATATATATATATATATTATATACAATATATATGTGTGTGTGTATGTGTGTGAATGTATTTGTATGTATATATAGTATAGAGGCGATAATTATAAATATATGTATATAAACAAAAGTGTACGTATATACAAGTGCATATATGTTTGCACACATGTATATGTATTATAGTAATTAAATGTAAGTTAGTTGGGGAGATTAAGAAAGGCCTCATGCAGAAGATGGTGCCTGAACTACACGTGAAAGGAAGAAAGGGATTCTGTAAGTTAGAGGTAAGGAGGAATTACATTCGAGGCATGAGGGACAACCAGTGCAAAAGGATGCAATAGTGAAAGTAGTGAAAAAGAGCCCTGCAGTTCCTTTCTATGTTTTCTCCAGAAAGGATCGACCCAGTGTGCTGGGAGCCTCCCTCTGTTTTTGTTTGTTTTTAATAATTCAATGATTCCAATGTTATACTGGGCTGTCCATCTATTGTGCTTCATTCTGGCTAGATGGCCAGCCCACCTCCTTTCTCACTCATATATGTCCTCGGCATAGTCTTTTATACCACTTCTGATGCACAACTCATCACTGGTGATGTATTATTGCCCACCAACCATCTACCTCTTGTTCTTTTGATCTCTGCAGTTATTCAAAATGAACTCTTGAAAACACTAGAAAAATAGATTTGCTTTAATTCTGGTTCAGGGTCATAGGACCAAATGATTCAGAATGATAGATTGTGAGATGGAAGTGACCTCAGGGAACATCTAGTCCTGAGGAAACTTGGGACCAGACAGTGTAAACAACTGGGTTCAAGGCCCAGCTAAGGTAACTAACTCTGTGATTTGGATAAATCCCTTCAACTTTTTGACAGTTTCCTTGTGTGTAAATAAAGAGGCTTACACAATCCTGCCCTGCCTACTTCACAGCAGTGTTGGGAAGATAAAATCAGAAGGACTTTGTGAATGTTTATTATGCTAAAAATGCCTTCGTGATAATTAATGTGGCTAGAAATAAATACCTGGGAAACAGATCTTTCTGGATTGTGGGATTTTCAAGTAGTTACAGTGCATTAATTATTTGAGGAGCAGTAGGGTATAATGGAAAGGCACTGCCCCAGGATGGTATGGTAGAAAGAGAATGTGTTTGGAGCCAGAAAACTTGGGTTGGAATTCTGGCTCTCAGTAAAGAGCAACTACCACCATCACCACCACCACTGTCATTACTACCACCACCACCACTTCAGCCATTTATGTAGCACTTACTATGTGCCAAGCATATTATAGATACTATCTCATTTCATCCTCTCAATAACTGTGGCAGTTGGTGCTATTATTATTCCTAATTAAAAGTTGAGGAAATTGAGGTAAGCAGAAGTTACATGACTTGCCCAAGGTCACACAGCTAGTGTCTGAGGCTGTATTTGAATTCAGGTCTTCCTGCCTCCAGGCCTGACACTTTATCCACTGTACTTTCTAGCTGCCACAGTATCAATGGTCCTCAGTTATATCACATGTAAAATTCTGGAATTAATTTAATCCATCTCTAATGTCCCTTCCAGTTTTCTATCCTATGACCCAATGTGGTGATATGAGACCTGGGTTTGAATCCTGGCTCTGGCACTTAACTAGCTGTTTTATCTTGGGCAAATCACTTCATCAGACTGATCCTCTTTTCTTCCAAAATGGGAATAATATTCCCAATCTCACAGAATTGTGAGAAATTATTATGATCTTCATAATTAAGGTTACATTATATTTCAATATTTTATTTCTGCTAGGTTTTACTTTACTTCTTTATTATATTATATACTGCTTTATTTATACCTCTTATTGTTTCATCATATTAATTTTGAAATATATTCCTCTTTTTCACCCTTGTAAGAAAGATTAAAAAGGAAAGAGAACAAAAAACATTCACGCAAAACCAATCAGTGCATCAACTACGTCTTATAGTCAATGCAATAATTCTCACTTGTAGTCTTCCTATCTGTGCAATGAAAGGAGGAAGGTGAATTTTCTCAACTCTTCTCTGATATTAAACTTGTTCATTGTAATTATATAATTTAGTTCTGCTTCCTTAAATTGGTGTGTGTGTGTGTGTGTGTGTTTGTTTTTGTATCATTCCTTGATCAAAAGGTTTGTAATTAGAAATCTAGATATCTCTGATAAAAATGAGACATACGGTTTTGAATGGTAGGTAGTTGGTGATATGTAGGAAAGGAGAAGTGAAGAAACATTTAAAAATGTGTACATTTATCTATCTATCTATATCTATAGGTATACATACAAAGAGAATGGGAGGGAGGGAGGAAGAGATGAAGAAGACAAGATAGAGATGTTACTACTGCCATAGGGTGGATTTAGAAAAAATGAAATTTAATATGCCCACTTATTATCTCTCTAAGCTTATGCTTTTCTCTTTGAAAATTTTAAGGGAGAAACTGGAGCTCAAGGACAGAGTGGAGTCCCTGGACCCAAAGGAGAGAAAGGTGATTGGTAAGTAAATAATCAATCAATCAATCAGTTGATAAGCATTTGTTAAATGCTGCTATGTTCTGATTACTATGCTAGATGCTGGGAATGCAAAAAAAGAAATGAAACTGCTTTTGCCCTTAAGGGACTTATATTATAAGTAAGGCCATTTACTCCTGACCCTTGTGGTTCAATATGAAGGGAGAATGGAAAGAAAGGCAAATTTTCTGATGAGATTCAATCTACCAATGTTTCTTTAGCAGGGCAGTGTTCTCTTTGCTGAAGGGTTTAGGGTCAAAAAGCTTGAGATTCAGTATAAGTATAAAGGATTTGTATAAACACATGTACTGTATAAGCCAAGGTACAGTCAGCATGTTTGCTATAGATAATAGCCCACATATAATTAAAATAATAATTATTATTACACTTATTAAGGTATTATTGTTAAGGTACTGTCAGTCATAGATGATCCAAGACAGCCTGTCACTGAATGCTAGAGTATATGCTACAGGCTATAAGTGCTTTATGAGGTTAGAAGAGAGAGACTTTATGGTGGGGTTGGAGTGGTCAGGAAAGGCTTCATGGAGGAGAGGGCACATGAAGGACTGGTAAGATTCTGATCATTACAGAGAAGAGGGCAGTGTCAGGAAGAGTGTCATCAAACTCAGGAATGTTTTGTGGAATATAGTGAAGAAACTGGACTTACTGAAATTAGGGGAAAGAGATGGATCAAGCTGGAAAGGTTTGGTAGGTTCTTGAATATAGAAGAGTTTGACATAAACATGACAGATATAAGGGGGATTACTAGAAAGACTAATCTAATAATTCTTTGTAGTAGAGTAATTAATTGAGGGGCAGGGGAATATATATGCAATACTTTCAAAATTCTCATATTCTAGGATGAATGGTAATTTTGTTGTGAGGACAGTGATATGCTGTAAATTAAATTCTCTCCATTTTTTTGTCTTTTTTCTTCCCTTCCCCAAGGGTCAGGGAACATTTTTCAAAGGAGAAAAAGGTGAAAAGGTATGATTTCTGCTTCACACTATACTGAGGGCTATGGAAAGTGAGTGAAAAACATGGCAAGGGGGGGGGTCTGCTTTGGCCAGGGTCAGCTATCACTAAAAGTATTTTCTAGTAGGGACATTTTTGGTGAGGCAATCAGGGTTAAGTGACTTGCCCAGGGTCACACAGCTAGTAAGTGTCAAATATCTGAGACTGGATTTGAACTCAGGTCCTCCTGACTCCAAGGCTGGAGCTCTATTCACCATGCCACCTAGCTGCCCCTCTAGACATCTTAAAGAGATGTGTTGTTCCAGCACTGATACTTCTTCCTCCTCCCTGATCCTGAAAGCTTTCAAGCTTTTCCAAGAGCTAGAAGAAAGGCAGAGCCAATATACAAGTTTTTACTATGGCTTGAAGTCAAGGAGCCCTTCACTTTGCAGGTATCCCATATCCTTGGTCACTCTCTCTTTTGCACATCAGTGTACACTGAGGGACAGGATTATGGACTGGCGGAAGACAGAGCAAGTGAAATTAATCTTTTTGATTCCATAGACAGTACGTGGCAAATCAGGTTGAAAATATCCCTAATTAAGCAATGCCTCAAGATCAGAAAATGAAAATAAAACTTAAAAGACTCTAAAATACTAGTTTACTGTTCTCTAGTTCCAGAGCATTAACCATGATGAAACTCTAATCTTTAAAAATTTATTAAGGAAACAAGAGCCTTTTCACTAAACAATTCCAATTCAATAACAAACAAAAATTGATTAAGTATGAGCTCTTAGCACCAGCGGTACAAAAAAGAAAACAATTTCTGTTCTCAAAGAGGGATGTATAATGAGGACTTTAATGGGGGAGATGATCATGAACAACTATAGTACAAATCAGAACATAAGTGCCTAAGAGAGGTTAAACACAATGATCTGAAAGAATTGAGACAGGTGGGATTACATTGAGCTGGAGTGGATCAGAATGGCTTCATGAAAAAAGTTCTCAGCTAGATTGGGACTTGATGGAAAGGAAAGAAAGGATTTCTACAGGAAGAGATAAGGAGTGGGTATCCTTTCCAACTATGGGGGACAGCGTGAGTAAAGGCACCAAGTTAATCAATGGAAGTTTGAGAATGGGGGCGTCTTCCATGGGAATGGTGTGAGTTAAGTTTGGAAAAGTAAAGTTAGCTTCATCCTTCTTAAGATATACATATACTCACAAACCCTTGTCAACAAAAGTTTTATTTTCTATAATTATATGAACATGGTCATTCATCTATGCATTTTTAAAAGAGAAAGGGAATAACCATTTACTAGGTACTTACTATACGCTAGGTACTGTGCAAAGTACTTTATATATCATTTGATAATATATAATAAATTTATAAAAGTAAATATTATTGATGGCTTTTGTTTTTTTATATCATCTATTTTCCTGAGAAAGCCATCCCTTTAAAGAGACTAAAAAAGAGGGAAGGAAAACAGTTTAGCAAAATTAACCAAATTATCCAAAAAATTTTGACATTGTATATGCAATGACAGTCTACCAATGCTGCAAAGAAGCAAGAGATGATGCTTTTTTTGTATCTCTTCTTAGTGCCAAAGTTAGTTATTTGAGTTTTGTAGAATTCAATTTCAATAGTTTTGTGATTCTAGTTCTTTCCATTTACACTGTTAGAGCCATGTAGAATGTTTTCCTGATTCTACTTACTTCACTTTTCACCAGTTCATATAAGTCTTCCTTTTCTTCTCTGTATTCATCATGTTTGCTGTTGCCTACAACCTACTAATGCCCCATTTCATTCATATAGTACAACTTGTTTAACCATTTCCCAATGATAAGCATAGATTTTTCTTCCAGTTCTTTGCTTCCTCGGAAAGGCCTTCCCCTATGTATTTGATGTGTATGGTTCTTATTTATTTATTTGTTTGTTTATTTACTTATTTTTTTAAAATTTCTGACCTCCTTGGGGGTGAGATCTTTCATGGTTATGAGATCTCTGATTCAAAGGGTATGGACAATTTAATCACTTTCATGGTAGAACTCATTTGCTTTTCCTGGATCAGATCCTCTGCACATTTTTCACAGGTGTACTCAAACAATTCTAAGGGAGTTCATATAGGGATACCAAACTTTGGTGGCTTCAAGAATAAGCAGAAGGCAAAATTTGTTGAAAGGCTCCTTATTAGCTTCGGTTTTACATGTGAATAACCTGGTAGGTCTTGCAAGACTGGGACAGCAGTCCTTTGAGGGCTTTTTTTTTTTAATCATTTCTTCCCTCAATTTGATATCTTGGCTTCAGGCTCATTGGAGGATTATCCTCAAAAGTCCTGGGGAGCAGCAAATAATAGCAGAAAACAAACAAACAAACAACTTGGAAGTCATCAGACCTGGGTCCTTGTCCCCATTTGCCACTTATTGTTGTTTGCTCTTAGGAAAGGCATTTTCCCTCCCTCATTCTCAACTTTTGTTTTTTATCAACAAAAAAGGAAGGGGTTAACTGAGATGATCTCCCTTTCAATTCTGAAAACTTTTGATTCTATGATGTTTTCAAATGTTCCTAGATTAAGTGGTCCCGATTTCCTTAACTGAGTACAACCAATGAAGACCTTTAAAAAAAAGTCTATTTCCTGGAAATTTAGAATCATGGATTTTAAGATAGAAGGGAATTTATTGAATCTAATCATCTTTTTTTCTTTTTTGGTGAGGCAATCAGGGGTAAGTGACTTGCCCAGGGTCACCCAGCTGAGGCTGGTTTAAACTCAGGTCCTCCTAACTCCAAGGCCTGAGTTCTATCCACTGTGCCACCTAGCTTCCCTTCACCATCTTATTTTTTTTTTATAGGGAATGAGACCCAGAGAGGTTAAGTGACTTATGTTAAAAGTCAAGTCAAGAGAATCAGACATAGGTCCTGTGTCACCAAATCTTCCCACTCTTTCCACAGTACTGTGCTGCCTGGGATTTTTCACAGAAATTTATTTAATGGATGTATTTCAATAGGTCGAAACAATGGATCAAATTTACTGGGATGGACTTCATTATAGATAACCATGAGTCATCCATTTGGGTTTAGAAAATGAACTGTATAATTCCAAGATGGAAGAAGCACTAAGGCTTTGGTGTATGATTTGACAACTGTTCATATGAAACAATGCCTGGGGTTTTGGTAGACTGGAAACTCTATATAGTATAACAGTGGGATATGGTAGCCAAGAAAGCTAATATAAACCCAGCCCTCCTTAAGAGAGGAAGAATGTAAAGAATTGGGGAAGTCCTATATTCTGCCCTATTTAAATCTGAAGTGTAATGCGTACTTCTAGAAAACATATTTTAGGAAGGATATAGATAAGCTGTTAAGTCTCCAAAGGGGAAGGAAGAAAAAGGATGGTGGGAGTTCTTGGTTGAATGACTTTGAATTACCTGAAATTTTACCTGAATTTACCTGAAAGATTTTCAAGGGTCATAGTTATCTTCAGAAATTTGAATTCAAGTTATCATTTGGAACTAATTTTTTTATGTTTTGGGGCAGAGGATAAAACATGTAATAATTGGTAGAAGAGATAGATTGAATCTCAGTGTATGGAAGAAACTTTTCAATAATGAGAGCTATCAAAATATGTAATTGATTGCCTTGGGAAATATTAGGTTTTCTCACATTAGAAGTTATTCCTTGGCTTTGGGAAATGGTTCATTCTTGAACAGTGGAGGTCTTCAAACAAAACTTGTATGACTGTTTGTTAGGGCTGTTGTTGAGAGAATTCATATTTATAGATAGTCAGAACTAAATGGCTTCTGAGGCCATTTCTAGCTTTGAGATTCTATCATTTACTTATTTTTTCAATTGAATACATTCTAGATTGATAGATGTTAGCTACACATTTACAAGCTTCCTGCTGGCAGGTTAATCTCTTATTCTTCTACTTGTTTGTCCTAATGATATAACCATGGAGTCACAGAATAAAGAATATTAAAGCTGAAGGGAAACTTAGAACAAAAGGCATTGGACTGAAAGGAGCCTTAGAACATAGAACATGGAGTTTTAGAAGGCACATTAGAAAGGATCTAGTTAAAATCCCTCTTTTTAAAGAGGACAAAACTGGGATTTTGAGAGAAGTTAATTGTCTTGGGCCACCTTTGCCAGTGAATTTGGTTCACAAGCTGGCAGGGGAAGTCTGGTCTGCTGACTTCTAGATAATTTCCCTTTCTGCTATAACCATGCTGATTTTCAGTGGTATAGTACAATTCCAACAAACAATCTCTTCCTGAATATTGCTTTGATTGATTTAGGCTTCCTGATTTTAATTTCTACCCTTCTCTTCTTTTTCACTTCCCATTTAATCTGCACCTCATAGTTTCTGCCATCCCCTCCCACCCTAAACCCCTGTAACCTTATTGATGCCTCCTACTGAGCCCCTTTCTCTGGCCATAGATAAACTACCAGTGTGGTGAGCTTTCACTCCAACTATCTGGTAGGTGGGTCCCTACATTGCAAGAAATGGTGATCATTCATGACTAGGGTGTTCAGAGGAGGCTCTCTGAGAAAAAGGAACTAGCTTTTGAACCTGACCTTAAAATATGTGTAGAATTCTGACAATGGAATGGAGTTTTTCCTATTCTCTTGTATGAGCAGTAGGAGTAGATGTGGGGAGAGATGAACAAAGTTAGCATGTAGTAATGGAAAGAACATACACAAGGTTTTAATCCCTCTGCTGCTACTTTCTACCTTTGTGACTTTGGTTAAATCACTTCCCCTCTCTAGACTTGAGCACCATCCTCAGAAAGTGAAGATGTTAGACTCCATGATCTCTAAGGTCCTTAATTTCTATAATCAAATGTGTTCCTGGCATCCCAAGATTGAGTCCTGATCACTCTACAATCTTGTTAGCATATAGCCCTGCCTCAAGTATATTATGGGTTAAGCATATAATATTAAGTATGGTATAGGTTAAGTTGGAGATTAAGGTTAAATTGGAATTTCTGTAGTAACCATGGAATCTAACCACCATTTAGGATATTATTTTCCTATGAGA